TGTTGGTGAAATTAAAGTAACTGACAGAGTGGTGTACTTATGTAAATATTGAGTTCAGCAAAAACAAGTTGAGGTGGATTGTTATGAGAGGCAGTCTGCCGTTGACCTGCATGATCTTGTTGAGTATGTAAAAAATGCAAAATCCTGGCTGCTCTGTATGCAGGCCAGTTTATGTTTGTACCAAGTAACCTTAAGAGATGAAGTGCTTTCTCCATCTGAACAAAAGGTGGACTTGCGGCCGGTGCCACAACTCAATAGGCTAATCCTCCACCTGCAGCGCCGGCACACCGGGTTCTAGTCCCAGTCAGGGCGCCGGATACTGTCCTGGCTGCCCCTCTTTCAGGCCAGCTCTCTGCTGTGGCCAGGGAGTGCAGTGGAGGATGGCCCAAGTGCTTGGGCCCTGCACCCCATAGGAGACCAGGAGAAGCACCTGGCTCCTGCCTTCGGATCAGCGCAGTGCGCAGGCTGCAGTGCACTGGCTGCAGCAGCCATTGGAGGGCGAACCAAAGGCAAAGGAAGACCTTTCTCTCTGTCTCTCTCTCTCACTGTCCACTCTGCCTGTCAAACAAAAAAAAAAAGTGGACTTGCTTCAGCTTTCAGTTTCCTACAATAGCAGGAAATCCTTTAAATTCTGTGTTCTTCACCCACAGCATGGGCAAGGGTCTTAGTAAATTCAGGCCACTATAACAAAATACCATAGACTAGGTGCTTATAAACAACAGAAAGTTACTTTTCACAGTTCTGGAGGCTGCAAATACACTATCTGCAGGGCAGCATGGCCTAGTTCTTGTGAGGGCCCTCTTCTGGGTTGCAGACTGCTGACTTCTCATTTGATCCTCATGTGGAGGAAGGAGCTAGAGAGCTCTTGGCAGTCTTTTCAATAAGTACGCTAATCCCATTCATAAGGACTCCACTGTCATGATCTATTTGCTTTCCAAAGTAAATAGATTTCAGTATAGGGATTTGAGTAGAGACACAAACATTGCAGCTGTAACAGTAAGTGTTCATCTAGGCCCACCAACTCTACCTCCATGGAATTTGGAGGGGCATGGAAAACAATGTAAACATGAAGCTGAGGATACTGCTCTTGTAAGTAAAAAAGTCACATTTTCCTCTGAGCTGTGAATATCATGTGTTCAGTCAGCATTAATGAAATGGTAATAGGCTAACATATGCCTGTAAGTAGGGCCAAAGTGCAAATCTTGACAAACAAATAACAATTCCAGTTGGTTTTAAGTCAAAAAGTGAAAAATACAACAATAAATTAGTGATTTTTTTAGAAGAAACAGGAGAATATCTTTGTGGATTTAGGACACAGAAAGAATTCATAAAAAGACACACAAAAAATCACTTGCCATGAAGGAAAACATTGATAAATTGAGCTACATCATAAGAAAGTGAAAGGCAGTTCACAGAATGGGAAAATATATTTGCAGTATGTGCATAAGCAACATAAGGCTCATATTCAGAATATAATAGAAACTCCTCCATGTCAATAAGAAAAATAATCCAAAAGAAAACAAGACAATAGACTTGAGTGGATACTCAACAAAGCTGGGTATCCAGCTGGACAATAAAGAAATGAAAATGTGCTCCAGTCAATGATCAGAGATTGCAATTTAAAGTCACAATGGGGGCCAGTGCTGTGGCCTAGTGGGTAAACTGCTGCCTGCAGTGCCAAAATCCCATCTGGGTGCCAGTTAGAGACCTGGCTGCTCCACTTCCAATTCAGCTCTTTGCTATGGCCTGGGAAAGCAGTAGAAGATGGCCCAAGTCCTTGGGCCCCCTGTACCCACATGGGAGACCTGGAAGAAGCTCTTGACTCCTGGCTTCAGATCAGCACAGCTCCAACCATTGCAGCCATTTGGGGAGTGAACCAGTGGATGGAAGACTTCTCTCTCTCTCTCTCTGTAACTCTGCCTTTCAAATAAATAAATAAATTTTTAAAAATAGTCACATTTAGTTCTATTATACAATCACTAAAATGGCTAAAATTCAAAAGACTGACAATGTCAAATGTCGGCAAGGGTGTATGAACCACAGGAGCACTAATTCACTAATAGTAGGATTGTAAGTAAATAAAGCCACTTGAAAACTTGTTTGGCAGAGCTAAACATAGGCACTTAATTGAATTCCTATAGGCCAAGGATTCTACACCCAGATACTCTGTTGAAACACAGCCAAATGTGCACCAAAAATACATATTCAAGAGTATGTATATTGATACTGAGAATAATAAAAGGATGCAAACTACCCAACTGCTACAAAAATCAAAATACCAAAAGGGGCAAAGAACATAATTTGACAATTTACATAAAAGCTTAAAGAAATATAAATTAAAGTAATGAAATACCACATTTCACCTGTCAGACCTTCCAATGTTTCAGAGTAGGTAAATCTTTAAAACAAGTGCTGAGTGAAAAACTAAACAGATCTCTGAGATATGCCATATACATAAATAAGGAATGTATGCACATAACAAACAGGTTAACAGGAAACAAAAGTGAAAGCATATGCATTAAGCATTAGAATGGTTTTCTGGGGTGATGTGGCTGGGACTAGGAAATGGAGATAGAAGTAAGTGAGAAAATAAATAAAAAGCAATAATACCTATTGCTAGCAAAATGTGGAGGAGGAGGAATATAAAGTATTAAAGAGTTTCTGGAAACAGTCTGACGACATACATCAACAGTCTGGGAACAGTGGCAGTGCTCATCAAAAGTGGCATGACAACATGAATCATGCACACTGTAAAATATATAGCCATTAAGAGACAATTAGGGCCGGCGTTGCGGCTCACTAGGCTAATCCTCCACCTTGCGGCGCCGGCACACCGGGTTCTAGTCCCGGTCGGGGAGCCGGATTCTGTCCCGGTTGCCCCTCTTCCAGGCCAGCTGTCTGCTGTGGCCAGGGAGTGCAGTGGAGGATGGCCCAAGTGCTTGGGCCCTGCACCCCATGGGAGACCAGGAGAAGTACCTGGCTCCTGCCATCGGATCAGCGCGGGGCGCTGCGGCCATTGGAGGGTGAACCAACGGCAAAGAAAGACCTTTCTCTCTGTCTCTCTCTCTCACTGTCCACTCTGCCTGTCAAAAAAAAAAAAAAAAAAAGACAATTAGAAGTATTCTTTATGCTTTGAAGGAATTTCACAGATACTATTCAATAATGAAAGGAGATATATAAATCTACTGTAATGCCATTGTTGATAACAGTGATCCCCCAAATGTATGTATACACACACATATACACACACACACATATTTCTGTATATTTATACAGAAAGTCAAGAAAGAATCTTTACTAGATTAAAGTAGAGAAATAAACTACTGGAGTGGGAAGGATAAGAGAGGGAAGGACAGAAACTACCAAAAGGAAAAGAAAAAGTAAAGATTTCACCCCAAAATAGGATTACAGATTTATGATCACATTCATTCATGAATGTCAAATTGTATATATGTATGAGTATTTTATAAACAGAAATTAAATAAGATTTGTGTTTGTTGAAAGGCTGAGTTTCTCCCATGATTGGAATCTGAACCCACAGATGAGATATATTAATTGTTTGGGTCACAGGCAAGGCTAAAGGTCTCCTCTTCCCATCTTGCTTCTTACGTGGGTCATCAGTTGGGTCTGGGAAACAAATTAACACGAGGTAGACTAGCAAACAATTAGCAGGTTTTATCAATTTTTGCACGTACATGGGGAGCCCCACAAGAGAGTGAAGACCTGAAGAAATGTTCAAACTAGGACATTTTTGTCTCTTAGACTACAGAGAGAGAGAGAAATTTGTGAAGAAATACAAGGGCACCTGGACGAGAGGTGGTCAGCTCCAAAGCTGTGTGTTGGAGGTGTGTTAGGGGTAGAAGCTGGCGAGTCACTTCAGTGCTCTTACAGGCAGCAACAGTTCCCAGCCTCTGGTGATTCCGGATTATTTCTTGCCCCTCCTCAGTGGGATTGTTGTGACCTGCTCTCCCTGGGAAAGGACAGGTGAGACAGCCCACCCTACAATTATAGTTTTGCAGGTGCTTTCTGCGTGAAGTAACCAGTATCCCAAGCCAGCGTTTGTTGTGGTGGATCATCCTTAGCTCCCTCAGGGTCTTAGTTGCTGCTTGCTCTGATAACTCTATCTCATGCATATACTGATCTTGGCATGAGTCCACTATCTCTGTGACTTGTGCAAAAACAGTCAAATCTTTTGAATCTGTGATTATAGTTCTTTCTCCAGTGATTTTATTGCCTACATATTTTTTAAGAAAAATGATGCCCCAGTTTAATCTTTATTTAGGGACTACATAACTGAAATTTTGGTGGTAAATGTTTCTTAAGAGTTGGAGTGATTAAGGAAAAAGAAATGCTGGTTTTTGCCATTTAAAATGCATTTTGAGGGGTCCATATTATGATACAGTGGGTTAAGCTATTGCCCACAACACCTGCATCACATATGACTGCCAGTTCAGTTCCTTGGCTGCTCTACTTCGGAACCAGCTCCCTGCTAATGCCCTGAGAAAGCAATAGAATATAGCCCAGGTTCTTGAACTCCTGCTGCCCACATGGGAGACCTGGATGGAATTCGGGCTCGTGGCTTCAGCCAGGCCTAGCCCTGTCCCATGTGGTCATTTGGGGAGTGAACCAGCAGATGGAAGATCTCTTTCTTTGCCTCTCCTTCTCTTTGTGTAACTCTGCCTTTCAAGTAAGTAAGTAAGTCTTTTTAAAAAATGCATTTTGTCTTCTTGGTGATGGGGACCTATGTACTTGAGTCATCATTTGTTGCTTTCCCTGATGGATGTTAGTAGGAAGCTGGAATTAGGGGTGGAGCTGGGACTTGAGCCTGGGTGTTCCTTTATGGGATTCAGACATCCCAGGCAGCATCTTAACCACTGTACCAAGTGGCTGCCCCTATACGAAGTTTTATGAAAGGACTGAGCGCTAACAAACAACATGAAGACAAGTGTTAGGAGTCAGTCCAGTAAATGTAATTTTACTCTATTTTGTTTGTATTTCAGATGCCTTTGGTGTTTCATGAAGAATATTTCCAGATATATCACAGACATTAAGCCTTTGCCTCCCAACATAAAAGATAGATTGATTAAAATAATGAGCATGCAGGGGCAAATAACAGATTCAAATATAAGTGAGGTAAGAATATGTGTAACTGTAAAGCAAGCATATTATATTTTGCTGTTTAGAAATGGTCTCAGATTTTTTTCCCTTGAGGTAATAAAAATGTTCATATGTAATATTATTTTTAAACTCTTCTCCCACTATTCTTTTGTTTACCTCTCTTGTCTTCATGGTACCAGCACCCCTTGAACTCCAGGTTTTAAAAAAATTTTAAATATTTTGGTCACAACTCACACTAAGAAATGTAAATTACATTATGAATCCAGTACATAAACCATACTTAGTGTAACTATACTGTGTGAAGAACAAGTTGGTATTTTCTATTTTTTCATTCTATTTTGTCTTCATTAAAAGAAAACAAAACATGTCTCACAGTCTAATAAACTGATTTCATAATCCACCTGTGGATGATTATCAGTAGTTAAAAATCACTCTCTCCTCTAAACTTGTCCCATGCTTCTTGATGCCTCCCTCCTCTACTATATTAGACAGAGAGGTATTTCATCCACTGGTTGACCCCTCAAATGTCCACAACAGCCAGAGCTGGGCCAGATTGAAGCCAGGATCTTAGAATTCAATCTAGATCTCCCTTCTGGTTAGCAGAGATCCAATTACTTGAGCCATCACCTGCTGTCCTCTTGCAATTGCATTAGTGAGAAGCTGGAATCAGAAGCAGAGCTGAGACTCAAACCCAGGCACTCCTATATGGCATCTGGATATCCTAAGCAGCCTCTGAACTGCTACACCAAACTACTACCCCAACATCTTGTTTTAAAGTATTGTAAAGCAATAAATATCTTTTCTGTAATTAATAGTGAATAGGAGAATAGTGTTACCTATTCCTAGATAGTTTACCAGCTGGTAGTACTAGGATTGAATTCTGTATTCCCTTCAAAAATATGTTGAAGACCTAACCTCTCATACCCCAGAATGTGATCTTGTTTTGAGATAGGGTTGATGAAGTGACATGGAATAGGGTGGGTCCACAATCCAGTATGACCATTGTCCTAATGGGAAGAGGGCTGTGAGAAGGCACAGACACTGGGAGAAGTCTGTATCAGGATGGAGGCAGAGACTAGAGTGATGCTTCTACACATCCAGGAATGCCAGGGGTTGGCGACCAGGAACAGAAGATAAGAGAGAGGTGGGAAATAGATTTTTCCTCGGAGCCAGCACCTTGATTTCAGACTCCCAGTCTCTACAACCATGAGAGAATGAATTACTTTTGCTTTGTAAAACTTCAATTTATATTTATTTTATTTATTTGAGAGGCACAAAGAGAAATCCCCCATATGCTAGTTCATTCCCCAAATGCCTGCAATAGCCATGAATGGGCCAGCTCAAGCTGGGTCTCCCATGTGGGTATTTAATTATATTAAATTGAAATACGTTATAAGTGAAACACTTGTAAGGGTATTTCAAAACATGAGAAAATGGAATTAAAAGGTTATTTTGGTGCAAGAAAATTCTGAAGTCCATGCTTAAAAGGAGAAAAGGAAAATCACCTACTGCTACCTTGGTTTTGCTTCTCAGGTCTAGGGGCCATTCCTCTGCACCAGCCATCAACAGTGCTTCATGTCTCACAAGGGACTGAAGGGGCACTGAAGTAGCCCCTCCAGCTGGAAGCAGCCTTGGTTATTTTCTGCTCTGCATATCCTGTGTCCATATGAACATGTTTCTATAGTTTTTGCTCTATTTTCCATCAGCCACTTGTCTGTTGTAATCTCCAAAGCACTGAACATAGAGTATTTTTAAGACTTATTTATTTATTTATTTGATAGGCAGAGTGACAAGACAGATAGAGAGAAAACGCTGTCTTCAGTCTGCTAATTCACTCCCCAAATGTCAGCAGCAATCAAGGCTATGTCAGACCTCAGACAGGAGCCCAAAACCTCATCTTGGTTTCCAGAATGGGCCATCATATACTGCCTCCCAGGTGCATTAGCAGGAAGCTGGATCAGAAGTTTGGAGTAACCCAGGCCTTGGGACTCACACCAGACACTCCAATGTGGATGTCCCAAGCTGCAGCTTAACCCACTGTGCCTGATGCCAACCCAGGGGGATATTTATATCACAGAATTTATTAGAATCATATATTTGTTTCAGATCTTACATCCTGAAGTTCAGACTCTAGATCTACATAGCTGTGACATTTCTGATACTGCTCTCCTGCACCTGTGTAACTGCCGAAAACTGAAGATATTAAATTTAAGTTCCTCAATAGGAAACAGAATTTCCATAACTTCAGAAGGTATGTTTATTAGCACTACATAAATTAGTAAACTACTGGTCACCACCTAGTATAATTTTAGTGAAAAGAAGGATATAATATGTGAGAAAAGTACAGGAAGATGTCATTGAAAAATGAATTTATCAATACAAATATTCATACTAAGGATAAAAGTTCCAAATTCAGTTTCTGGTTTATAACTTTTAGTACTGAAAGTTTAAAAATGCATTAGATAAGTTACTACCTTATATTTTAAACCTATTTGAAATAAACATGAATAACACCTCTATATTTTAAATATTTTGCCTGATGTACTAGAACAAAAAATGACCAGTTCATATTCATCAGATTAAACTTGCTAGATACTCCTGTATCAGTCTGTATAATCATAGTTTCTCATACCCAGGCAGATTGCATTTTTCAGTATTACTATTACACAAATTAGTGGATTTTACTTTTTTTCCCAATATAGATGCTTTATTTTAGAATATAGGATTGTACCAATATTAGAAAGAAGGGGCCGGCACCTCGGCTCAATAGACTAATCCTCCGCCTGCGGCGCTGGCACCCCAGGTTCTAGTCCCAGTCAGGGCGCCGGATGCTGTCCCGGTTGCTCCTCTTCCAGGCCAGCTCTCTGCTGTGGCCTGGGAGTACAGTGGAGGATGGCCCAAGTGCTTGGACCCTGCACCCGCATGGGAGACCAGGAGAAGCACCTGACTCCTGGCCTCGGATCAGCGTAGTGCGCCAGCTGCACTGCGCTGGCAGCAGTAGCCATTGGGGGGGTGAACCAATGGCAAAGGAAGACCTTTCTCTCTCTCTCTCTCACTGTCCACTCTGGCTGTAAAAAAAAAAAAAAAAGAAGAAGAAGAAGAAGAAGGACTTACTTGGCTAATAGATTTCTGAAAAACTTCGTCTGTATTTTGCAATTATCTTGGTTACAAGTTAGGATATCCACAGTATTACAAGCCAGCATAAATTTTCAATATTTACATAAATGATAACTTATTAAAAATAACTAATCAAAACAGTGCAGTCTTAATATTCATACACTTCAGACAGCAAACGTGTGAGATTTTTCCATACAAAGCCATTCTCCAGCTCTCTTGACACTAAGTAAGTGTCCTACAATTTAATGAACTTCTGACAGAATGTAGCTTAATCCCACAGGACAATTCCCCACTTCAGATGCCAGTTCAAGTCCAGGCCCCTGGTCCTTCTGACTGATCAGCTATAAATCAGGGGTTCCATGACCTCCTCGGGCTCAGTACTTTGGCAGAATGCCTCATAGAACCCAGGGATATTATTAAAACTATTATAAAGCACCTAAATGAACAGCCAGATGAAGAGCACCAGGGTGAGGTCAGGAAGTATCCCAAGCACAGGAGCCCCTGTTCCTGTGGAGCTAAGGTGCATCATTCTCCAGTGTGGGATGCTTTCACCAGCCAGGACGCTCATCAGATCTGCTTGTTCAAGAGTTTTCATAGAGTGCCCATGAACCACTGGATGGACCTGGAAGTTCTAATCTCTTGGTCTCTGGAGAATGGCCCCATCCTGAGGCTGTCTAGGGGCCCACCTGGTTACTGTAAACTCAGGTATAATCCCAAAGAGCTCATTGTGAATAACAAAAGACACTCCTATCACTCAGGAAATTTCAAGGGTTTTAGGAACTCTGTGTCAGGAGCTCGAGTCAAAGACCAAATATATATCTGATTATACCACCACTTCCATAATGGACACTAATAAGTAAAACAGCCATTCTTAAGATGTGGAAAACAATAAAAATGTTTTACCCATCAATCTACCAGCTTTCCTTGACTGTATTTTGCATACAAAAGGATTTTTTTTTTTTTTTACAGGCAGAGTGGACAGTAAGAGAGAGAGACAGAGAGAAAGGTCTTCCTTTTGCCGTTGGTTCACCCTCCAATGGCCGCTGCAGCCGGCGCACCGTGCTGATCTGAAGGCAGGAGCCAGGTGCTTCTCCTGGTCTCCCATGGGGTGCAGGGCCCAAGCACTTGGGCCATCCTCCACTGCACTCCCAGGCCACAGCAGAGAGCTGGCCTGGAAGAGGGGCAATGCCCCGAACGGGACTAGAACCCGGTGAGCCACGGCGCCGGCCAAAGTATTTTTAACAGTGTTAGAATTTTGTCCATGACTAAAGGACCCACGATCCCAAAATGCTTTTTCACTTATGTGATACTATGTCATGTACCAGCCTGCAATGCACATTTACATCAGTTTAATCAGATTTAGGAACTTCTCTTTTCTTGGTCCTCAGTGAGATGTATGACTGGTCCAGGCTAGCAGAGGAGCATGGTGGTAGCAAAGAAATAAAAGTTCGGGGGTGGGGGGAGAAGATGCATACATATTGCTGTTAGAGAGGAAGGTAGACTGTAGCTTATGTGTGAAGAGGTCAAAGGGAAGTTTGCAAGAAGCAGCCTTCGAAACATGCCTTGGAAGCAGCCAGCATTTGCACATCAAAGTTCTGCCCATGTCCTAATAACTTCGTAGGTAGGCCCAGGCTTCTCCCCACTCCAACCTCCACCCCAGACATCCCTGGAGAATCTTCCTGGCCCAGTGTCGAGAGGGCTTTTTTTCCAGCTCCCTGGTCTGATAATGTTGGGTTACAAAACCTTAGAAGGAATTCCACAAATTTCAAACCCAGAAAGCCCTTTGACAATATCCGAGGAGCAGGAGAAACAGGAGGAGGAAGTGCACCTCGTGCCCATATAAACCCGAGTCTGAACACAGACTGGGCACACTGTGTTCCTTCTGACAAGCTGCCCTTTGGGCTTGTTGGATGTACGACATCATTACACTTTGCTACCTTGCTTATTGCTACTCTCTGTCTCATGTCTGAAATTCTTATGTGGAAACAAGGACCTCCATTCCAGCCATCTGGTAACTTACATTTGGACATTAACTTTTTTTTTTTTTTTTTTTTTTTGACAGGCAGAGTTAGACAGTGAGAGAGAAAGACAGAGAGGAAAGGTCTTCCTTCCGCTGGTTCACCGCCCAAATGGCTGCCACAGCCAGCGCGCTGTGCCGATCCGAAGCCAGGAGCCAGGTGCCCCTCTCTGGTCTCCCATGCAGTTGCAGGGCCCAAGCACTTGGGCCATCCTGCACTGCACTCCCGGGCCACAGCAGAGCGCTGGACTGGAAGAGGAGCAACTGGGACAGAATCTGGCACCTCAACCAGGACTAGAACCCGGGGTGCCGGTGCCACAGGCGGAGGATTAGCCTAGTGAGCCGCGGCACCGGCCTGGACATTAACTCTTTTTTTTTTTTCAGTTTTAAGCCCTGCAAAAGCAAGGCCCTCAAAAAATTGGGTAACAACTCAGAATTGTTCCTTTCCACGGAAATCTTTAGTAAAAGGCAAAAGATTTATACGATCTGAAGAGAAACCAGAGTATGGACATTAACTTTTGATTTCCTTTCTGAAACCCAAAACAAAATTAACTTTATTATTTAAAAATATTTATTTTAATTCAAGGAAGAATCATCTACCATATAACTATCATCTAACTTGATTCTGAATGGCTTTTAGTCATTTCCTGAAAGCTAATCTACTTGTGAACAATAAAAGCTTGCCATCAAAGACACTGTGAAGAATATAGTATTACAGACTGTGTAGAATGTTCCTGAAACATTTCAAGAGTTTTAAATAATGACAGCATCTTTTTGGATATTAAGTATATCCTCAGAGATAGGCTGCTTTGAAAAAGGCTAACATATAATTGGTGACTGCTAAAATGAAAATCAGTCACATTGCTTACACATACAAGTATCTATCCATGAATAGTGCATTGTTACCCAATCACATTTTCTTCTAGGAATAAAGGCTGTGGCTTCATCTTGCTCATCCCTGCATGAAGCGTTTCTGAAACGATGCTGCAAGCTCACTGATGAAGGAGTGCTTGCCCTTGCCCTCAATTGCCGGCTGCTGAAGATCATTGACTTAGGAGGCTGCTTAAGTATTACTGATGCATCCTTACATGCATTAGGGAAAAACTGCCCCTTTTTACAATGTGTTGACTTTTCAGCTACCCAGGTAAATGAAATAAAACATAGACTCTGTTTGCCCAATGTATTCCCATGACTAATTAGGAGGGCGTAATTAATTACTTTTGATAATGTTGAAATTGTTGACCACTTCATGCTTTGTGTGGCTAAATAATTACAATATAATTGTTACCAAGTTCAAGCCTATCTGCCCATGGCATGAAAAAAACAGTTACTCAAGGGAAAGAAAGATGTTGAAGCAAAGAAATTTGAATTTCTTAGACATGCTGACAAACTAAGATGGGTAGAGGCAAACTAGTGTGCTAAAGAAACCATCTTCCTTGTGCCTTGTAACAAACCATTTGTAAATACAAGTGGCAGGAGATGGGGAGGGAGGGCAAGACCAAGAAGGAACAAAGTGCTGTAAAGGCTTGGTGCCAGCAGGAGTCCAAGAAGGGCCATGAAACTCTGTCCTTGGTTAGGTGACTTAGGAGACGTGGGTCTGATCAAGCTGCTCCTACAAATCCTTGACAAAACACTCCTTACTTCTGCGCACATCTTGTCTCCAGATAAGGACCTATTTGCAGAAACCTCAAGCTGCAAGCAGAATTCCTCTAGTGACTGACTTGTCTCCTTGCAGGGCTGAACAGAAACAGTCTGTCCCAACAGGTCAGGTAGCATGACAGACATACTCTGACATACATGGGAAACTCATTCACCTCGTTTCATAATTTGGCATTGTTACAATAAATGTGGAAGGTGTGCGTAGCTACGATATGTGTTTGCACAATGAGAGACAATAAAACTATATCTAAATGATAGTAAAATTGAGAAAAATTCCATTTGTACCTTCTCCATTTATAAGCTATGCTTCTTTTTCCCTTTGCTTAGGTATCTGACAATGGTGTGGTCGCACTTGTTAGTGGACCTTGTGCCAAGAAATTAGAGGTAATTTTAAAATATCTATAAAGATGATTAGATTCTATATGTCCTCAGAAATTGTTTTATAAACCTAATAGACAACCAATGCCTTATCAGTTAGGTATTTCATGGAATTTTCTTTTTGCCTCCAGCTCTTTATTTCCAGAGGAAAGAAAAACTGGTAGATATAAATGTGCTTTAACATAAAAACCTGTTTTACTTCCAATATAATTTCTTTTTAAAGATTTATTTTATTTATTTGAAAGGTAGAATTTCAGAAAGGGGAAGACAGAGAGAGAGGACTTTGATCCACTGGTTCACTCTCCAACTGGCTGCAATGGCCAGGGCTGGGCCAGGCTGAAGCCTGGGGGCCCAAGCACTTAGATCATCTTCTACTGCTATCCCAAGTGCATTAGCAGGGAGCTGGATCAGAAGTGGAGCAGCCAGGACTCAGACTGGCTCCAATATGGGATGCCAGCGCTGCAGACTGAGGCTTAACATTCTGTACCACAGCACCACCCCCCCAATGAAAGTTCTTCATTTCCCGTAAGTCATAGCTTCTGACAGGTTTGAGGATTGTCTTATTGTGGGTGAAGGTTGCTAAAATTTATCAATGTGATGTGCTGTTCTTTGGACCGTCATGTCTGACATATTTCTACAGTGTTAGTAATTCTAATCATACTATTTTTTTTCCTGAGAACCATTGTATAGCCATTTAAAAAGATCATAAATTAGTGATTGATATGGAATCTTATTACAGAATTTTGGCTGTTGCCTTTCCCTATTGAAAGTAGGGTTTTGTTTTCTTTTTTAAATACAATTGTGCTTGTAAGCAGTGAGCTGCACCAACTCCTCTTTGGAAGTAAGCAGTCTATAAATGAATTACAAATGTTAGCAATAGTAGTTTTGTAATAGAATAACAGTGCATGTTTTGGGCCAGAATTTTCCTTGAGTTATTGCCCACAGAGATTTGTGTGTGTGTGTGTGTGTGTTATTTATGATATGAATCTTGCTTGTCTTGCTAGTGTATATATTTTAAAAAATATTTTTCTTAAGATATTTTCATAGGGGTGGGCATGCAGCACAGCAGCTAAGACGCTGCTCAGTTGACTTGCATCCCACGTCAGCGTGCCTGGGTTTGAGGCCCCACTCTGGGACGCAGCAGTGATAACTCAAGTACAAGTACTCAAGTATGTGCCACCCACATGGAAGACCTGGTTTGAGTTCCTGACTCCTGGCGTTAACCTGGCCCAGCCCTAGCCTCAGCTACTGGAGCCTTGGGAAAGTAAACCAACACATAGATCTGTCTCTGCCTTTGTCTCTGTCTTTCTGCCTTTCAAATAAGTAAAAATTGTTAACAAAAAAAAAAGACATCGTCATATTACTCTCGTCCCATGTTCCAAATTCCAAGTTGCATCATAAGACAGAGGCAGCATTTCTTATTTTAAATTCCAGCATTGGTTGGGGGTAGCATTGTGGCGCAGCAGATAAAGCCACTGCCCTCAACACTGGCATCCAATATGGGTCCTGGCTGCTCCATTTCTAATCTAGCTCCCTGCTAATGCACCTGAGAAAGCAGGAGAACATGGCCCTGCCACCCATATGGGATACCCGGATGGAGTTTGAGATTCCTGGCTTTGACTTGGCCTAGCGCTGGCTATTGCAGGCATTTGGGAAGTGTACCAGCGGATGGGAGATTGATCTCTCTTTCTTTATCTTTCCCTCTTTCTGTAACTTTGCCTTTCAGATAAATAAGTAAATATTTGGAAAAAGAAAAGAGTGTTTTAATGCCAGCCTTGGTTGAGCACTTCTTATATGCCAGGTTCCATGTTAACTGCATTATATTCATTAGATTAGTTAATTCTTACAACATATCATGTAATCACCATAATTTTTAATAAAATTCTCAAGCTATTTGACTTAGTCTATATGTTCTAATAAAACCATCAGGAATTAGTTGTTATGCAATGATGGGAAATACATATTTATCTCAACATTATAAAGTTGGGAACACCTACCTAAGTAAGCGTAGAAAAAAATAAATGTTGGCAATTATAGCTCCATATCCTTTAATTCTACTTTGTTTTATAAAATGGTTGAGCATTTAAATTTTTTAAAATATTTATTTATTCATTTATTTGAAAGTCAGAGTTACACAGAGAAGGAGAGGCAGAGGGAGAAAGAAAGAGAAAAAAGAGAAAGAGGTCTTCCATCTGCTGGTTCACTCCTCAGGTAGCCGCAACGTCCAGAGCTGCGCTGATCCAAAGCCAGGAGCCCAGAGCTTCTTCTGGGTCTCCCACACAGGTGCAAGGGCCCAAGGACTCGGGCCATCTTCCACTGCTTTCCCAGGCCATAGCAGACTGCTGGATCAGAAGTGGAGCAGCCAGGACTCAAACTGGCGCCCATATGGGATGGCGGCACTACAGGCGGCGGCTTTACCCGCTGTGCCACAGCGCCGACCCCAAGCATTTAAATTTTAAAACTGTTTAATTTTCCAAATTACTTCAGACTCACATTGGTCTGTTCAATGTGTTTTCCTTGCAAGTGGATATTTATCTTTTTTATCAGAGTGTTTTATCAGCCGTGTCATACTATTATAATAAATCTATCTTATCTTTTTGTTTTATTTATTTCTAAATAGGAAATCCACATGGGACATTGTGTAAATCTGACGGATGAGGCTGTGGAAGCTGTCCTTGTGTCTTGTCCTCAGATACGGATATTACTTTTCCATGGATGCCCCCTAATAACAGGTTTGATAAATAGCCTGGCTTCAAATCCTAGCTTCTTTAACTGTGACCATGAGTAAATTACATAACCCATTCCATTATTCAGTTTCTTCACTTGTAGGTAAAATAGTCCTAGTGATGGTATCTCCCTTATAGGGCTGGTCATGATGATTACCTGACACCTCTTTTTATGGTCCCTTGAGTATAATAAGAACTCAAAAAAATGCTGACAGTGATGATAGTGGTGATGTTGGTGTGATAGTGGCATTGGTAAATGTTCAGTGAATATTGGCTATAATGAGGAAAATGCTGGCAACAGTGTCCATGTCCTAATATTAAGCATGACGCTTTATGTAGACAGTAACAATTTCAAGCTTATAATATTACACCTATCAAATATGCAAAAATAACCTGTTAACTGTTATCTCAGCAAAGTAACTGATACCTTAACTGTTATCGAAACTGAGTGAGAGTCAGAATAATTTGCACTATTGGCCTAGTGCAACTCTCACTGAAGGAAACAAAGTAGTCCTAGCCCATTTGGCCTATGCTGGAGCTATGACACTGTATGTGTGTTACCCTGGCCCAGAAACCATGCCCTTTCACATTCCCCCTTCAATGGCTCTCATCCCATAATATGACCTGCATCTCACTTGTAAATCACCAGTTATACCAGTTCTTCCAGCTCACTCTTAATTACATTCTAAACAGTTGTCCCTGGGTTGACTTGGAGTTGAGGTTAACCCTGGAAGTGTCTTTGACAGCTTGTCTTTTCTTATGTTTAAATAGCCAGTATTAACCTAAGCTGTATCCTGGTGTTGTATTTTGGTATTAGTGATTTACGTAATGAAGACTAAATCTTATATTAGACAAAGACATTTCTTAAGAAAATATAGCCAAAAGGGGCACATAAGAAACTGTTAACAGTGGTTACTTCTAGGGAAAGTTGTGAAAGGAACCAGAATGGGAAGGTATATGCTTTTGTACCTTTTGAATTTTGTGTCACATGGGTGATTTTAACATTAAAACTAATAACTTGTAAGGAAATAATTTAAAACTAGAAAAACTCATTGGTTTAGTGTCTGATGTATGTGTATACTGTTGTAGGAATGGCAAGAAGGGAAACCGAGGGTTTCTGGTCATCAAATAAGTTAGGGGAGGGTGTTTGGCAGAGTAGTTTGAGACACCCGGTAAGAATTGGACCCCACATTGTGGCATGCTTGAGTTTGAGTTCTGGCTCCGCTTTTGATGACATCTTCCTTGTGGATGTGTACTCAGGGAGCCAGAAGTAATAGTGAGTCCCTCTCACCCACATGGGAAACCTGGATTAACTTCAGCCCAGCCTTGAAAGCATTTGGGGAGTGAACCAGTGGGTGGGAGATTTTTTTCTCTGTCCCTCTGTCTCTGTCTGCCTTTCAAAGAAAGAAAGAAGCCTATGAAAAGAAGGCTGAAAATTGTGTCCTAGTAGGCAGACTGTCTGTTGAGGTAGAGGAGACCACAATATGTGGGATGCAATAGCAACCATTGTTAATGGATCTCAGAACAGCAACCAAAAATCTGTAAATCCACCCTCGAAACTCTAAGTGCATTTAACCAGCATTCTGAACATGCAAGGAGTTCTCGTAAAGGCTTATTTTCCTCACACTATTTAATTAAGAACCTGCTCTGAGGGGGCTAATTTTTCCCTACTGCCAGGTAAAATCTCCAACAGGTGCCGTTGACTTTCCTTATTCTCAGAGTTACTGAAATCGCTTCATTTCAGTAGTTGAAGTGTCTTAGGTGCGTGTCATACTCCAGCCTCCAGTCCACCCTGTTGTGGTAAGACTGAGGTCTTCTGTCAGGAGGGACTTCTCCTGCATGCAAATCTGTCCAAGTGCTGCACAAATGAAGTTTGTTGTGTTCTACTGCCACCTGGTGGTCAAGTCTTTTTCTTTGCTTTGTTCTGAAATTCCTCAAATTCACTAGTTACATGGAATGGCATTCTAGAATACATCGTAGGTGTAGCATAAGACAAAAAGTGTTTATATGTCCAAAAATATCATGAAGTGCAACATACTACTATAATAAATGTTGATTTGTTGAAGTCTCTGGGAAATCCTGTAGCTAAGAGACATGTTTAACTTTGTCCCAATTTCCCCCTTTTTAGTACAGAACACTCCTGACTCACCCATTCAACTCCTTTTTTTTTTTTTATAATGTTGTTTTTCTGATTCCTAGTTTTACAGAATGGGAAAGTGAGGAGCTTAAATGTTATTTTCTTAACATGACACAGTTTTTAATAATGCCAAGTGTAAATTAAAGACTCAAAGCACAGTGGCAGGAATACTGATCTTCAGTCCTGCAGTCTCTCCAGAATTGCAAATAAATCCCTTCTGTGTAGCTCAACTTTCCCTGTGAATAAGCAATTGTCATCAAAGTGGGAGATCCAATAACAGTGCCAGAGTGCACACACCGTGGCTTTATTTTAATAAAGATTCTTTAGATGACAAGAAGCTGAAATTTTTAACTACCCAGAGCCTCTGTATCTTTCACCCTTTCCCATGAGTTCTGCAACTATGCTACCATTATATATATATATATATATATTTTTAATTTATTTGAAAGTTATAGACAGAGAGAGAAACAGAGAGAAAGGTCTTCCTTCCATTGGTTCACTCCCCAAATGGTTGCTACGGCTGGCGCTGCGCTGATCTGAAGCCAGGAGCCAGGTGCTTCTTTCTGGTCTCCCACGCGGGTGCAGGGCCCAAGCACTTGGGCCATCCTCCACTGCCCTCCTGGGCCACAGCAGAGAGCTGGACTGGAAGAGGAGCAACCGGGACTAGAACCCAGCGCCCATATGGGATGCCGGCGCCGCAGGCAGAGGATTACCCAAGTGAGCCATGGTGCCGGCCCCACCATTATATATTTTTGTGACCATCATTGAATGAAAATAAAGTGTGCTAAGATTGTCACCTTATATCTAATTTTTAATTCCTTCTTTCTCCAGAGAAGATACATGCTTTTTTTTCTTTTGGCTTGATAATAAAAATCCCTTTCTTGATAAATGAAACCCCTTTCTTCTTTCAAGGAAACTTATATAGCATGCTTCCTCTCCTGTGTATTCATGTGATTGCTCATACATACACGGGGGCTTTATAAAGTTCATGGGAAACACCTTATCCTCTAAGTCCATTTGCTACCATTTTTTCAGCCCCCTCATAAGTAAGTATTTAAGTATAAATTAGATACGTGAGTATCTAATTTATAAACTGTAGAAAGTCTTTACTAACTTGTATGTGTTCATGTGCAGCTATATTATGTTATTTTCAAAGCAACCTGATTCCCACATTAGCAATATCCACCATAATTTCTCATCAGAGTCCCTGAATTAACCTGTCTTCTCTGTTCTTAGTAATTATCAAATTTCTCACCCTTAGTCAGACTATAAACTCCATAGTGTGAATTAGATCTTGAAGCAATTTGAAGCACTTTGATTTTATTTCTGCCGAAAACATAAAAACTAAGCTGCTCTTGCAAATAGTATAAATTGTAAGGTGGGTTAATAGGTGTTATCAAAGCACAGAAATAATTGTTACACTTACTAATTTTTTAATTATGTCTTTAGTTTTATCAGCAAGTTCAATTTAGATACTTTTGTTAATCTTATCACTTTATCTGTTTCTCATAATTATCTAAATGGGTTTCTATTCACAGACAGGGGCTTAGATGGAATGGCAGTAAAGCAATTAGACATTAAGAGTCCTTATGTTTTACACTGAAAGGCCAAAGTATCCAGCAGGATGCCTGATTAGCCTTTTCTTAGAGTCCTAGATGGACGCATATGTCAAGATTTACCACAAAGAGCCCGCAACAAAAGTATTTTAAGACCTGAGTGATTTGCTTCAGAGTTTTTCTTTAATTAAAGCTCATTCCTTATTAAAAGGACATTTTTTATTTCATATTTTTTCTTTGTATTTATTTAATTTATTTGAGGGGCCAGTGTTGTGGACAGCTGGTTAAACTACAACACTCACCAGCATCCCACATGGGCACCAGTTCGAGTTCTGGTTTCTCTACTTCTATTTTTTTTTTTTTTTTTTTTTATTTTTTGACAGGCAGAGTGGACAGTGAGAGAGAGAGACAGAGAGAAAGGTCTTCCTTTGCCGTTGGTTCACCCTCCAATGGCCGCCGCGGCCGGCGCGCTGCGGCCGGCGCACCGCGCTGATCCGATGGCAGGAGCCAGGAGCCAGGTGCTTTTCCTGGTCTCCCATGGGGTGCAGGGCCCAAGCACCTGGGCCATCCTCCACTGCACTCCCGGGCCACAGCAGAGGGCTGGCCTGGAAGAGGGGCAACCGGGACAGAATCCGGCGCCCCGACCGGGACTAGAACCCGGTGTGCCGGCGCCGCTAGGCGGAGGATTAGCCTAGTGAGCCGCGGCGCCGGCCCTGGTTTCTCTACTTCTGATCCAGCTCCCTGCTGATGTGCTTGGAAAAGCAACAGAAAATGGCCCAAGTGTCTGGGCTTCTGCCACCTGTGTGGGAAAACTGTATCAAGTTACAGACTCCTGGCTTCAGCATGGCCCGTTGTGGCCATATGGGGAGTGAACAAACCTATGAAAGATCTTTGTGTGTGAGTGTGTGTGTGTGTGTGTGTGTGTCTATAATTCTGCCTTTCAAATAAGTAATCTTTAAAAACAGAGAACAGTCAGAAGTCTGTCCATCTGTTGGTTCACTCCCCAAGTCCCTGCAACAGCTAGGGCTACGCCAGTCTGAAACCAGGAGTCAGGAACTCAAGCTGTGTCTCCCATGTGCTTGTCAGGGGCCCAACTACTTGAACCATCACCTGCTGTCTTCCAGTGTCTGCATTAGCAGGAAGCTAGAATTGAGAGCAGAGCCAGGACTCAAACCCAGGCACTCCAGTCTTGGATGGAGTGTCCCAAGCAGCATCTTACTGCTGTGCTAAATGCCCAGTGCATGATGATGATGATGATGTTAATCCTACATTATCCTTTTGTCTCCTAACTCATTCATTCATTACAAATCCAACAGGACAGAACTTCATGTAATGAAGTCATGTACACACTGCTGAAATGAAGCAATGAGCTTTGTAAAAATATGCCCAGCCTTTTTTTCCTCTTTAGAATTTATTTTATTTTTTTTGAAAGGCTGCATGACAGAGAGAGAGAGAGAGAGAGAGAGAGAGGAGTGTACCAAACAGCAGGTTTTTTTTTTATTTAATGAATGCATTTTTTCATAGATGCAAATTTAGGAATACACTGGTTCTTTCCCCCATACCCACCCTCCCATCCCACCTCCCTCTCCCTCTCCCATCTCCTTCTTCATTATGGTTCATTTTTAGTTTGACTTTATATACAGAGGACCAACTCTATGCTAAGCATAGACTTCAACAATTTGCACCCCCGCATACACAAAACATATAGAGTACAGTTGGGAACAAAATTTGCAGTTGATTCTCATAGTACAACTCATTAGGGATGGAGGTCCTATATGGGGAGTAAATGCACAGTGACTTCTGTTGTTCCTTCACAATTAACACTCTTAATTTTTCTGTCAGGGATGGCCCGAGGCTCTTGCCATGGGCTGCCATATGGAAGCCTTCTATGACCATGGACTCCATCGGTACTTGGACACGGCCATAAGTAAAGTGGATGTTCTCCCTTCAGAGAAGAGTACATCCTTCTTTGATGACCCCTTCTTTCCACTGAGGTCTCACAGGGATCTTCCGTGTAGGATTTTTTTGCCACAGAGTCTTGGCTTTCCATGCCTGAAATGCTCTCACAGGCCTTTCAGCCAGACCGGGAAGCATCAAGAGTTGATTCTGAGATCAGAGTCCAAACAGCAGTTTATTCTCACATGCCACAGCACCTGCCCCTATGCTCAGAAACCTACAAAAAATCTATACATTTTACTTGATCATCTGTAAAGATTAATTTGTTAAATTTGTATTTCCCATAGTTTCTTCTTACTGGTGTTCCAAAAACCCTGACATAAATCTTTCAAAAAATGGCCTCCATCTCTGTGGTCATAGATTTATTAGAGAAATGGTGAGCAGTTCACTAGTTGTCATCTATACAACTCCCACAGCTTAAAGAGAGGGGAATGGAGGTAACCAAAGCTTTAAGTAGATTGGCCCAGATCTTCAAAGTAGTTAACAGAACTAGAGGTAAAACCAAAGACACCTGATCCACAATCTAGTATTCTTTCCCCAATAGAGCAATTTCCTGGGCCTTTAGTGTAGGGTGGCTTAAATATTATTAGGAAAGAAAAGGGAATGGAGTGACATCAAGTACTGTGGTGACGGTAATGTGACAGTGGGGGACACTGGTAGTGTAATTGGTATACATGACATTTTAGCTCTTCTTAAGTGTGTGTTCTGTAAAGGAATCTTGAGATTCTTAGAGACCCTACAGTTTCTCCTGTATCATAATAAACTCACAGTATTGCATAATTCAACTATTTAAACGCAGCATCCTAAATACTTTACACCTTCCTGGGAAACTGACTGAGGATCTGTACTGCCATCTAGCATCAGAATATTTAAATGATAGAAAAGTATATTGTATGCTTATATTGGAGGGAAAAGTATCATTTTATTATGTGCAATAGTAAATTCCTGCAGAAGAGTGACACATGCAGTCAGAAGACAAATATTTATATACAATGTTTGGTAATATGTTCACAACTAGGAAAAATACCAAAATAATCCTATAAACACCAATTAAAATGAAATTAAGAAGCATGTCTCCAGTTTTTTGTTTTGTTTTGTTTTTGTTTTTTTCAGAATTGTGCTGCTGTTCTGGGCCCTTAGAATTCTCATATAAATATGAGGATCATCTTACCAACTTTCACCCAAAAAAGCCCATTACCAGGTTGAGGAAATTTCCTTTTACTCCTTGTTAGCTAAGTCTTTTTATTCTGAGTGTTGGATTTTTTTCCTACACCTGTTGAGATGATTTTTTGTTTCTTGTCCTTTATTCTATTGATTTATGATGTCTGTGGTGGCAAAAGAATGCTCCCACCCAAAGATGCCCATGTTCTAATGCCCAGAACCTGTGAGTATGTTGTGTTACCTGAGGTTGCAGATGGAATTGAAGTTGGTAATCCTGGCTTAAAATAGGGAGATTATACTGCAGTATCTGAGTAGGCCCAATGTAATCATAAAGGTTCTTAAAACTGGGAGAGGCAGAGAGAAGAACCACATGAGATGGATTCTACCAGATGTTGCCCACTTTGAATACACAGAAATGCAAGGCATGTGGTGGGCTCTAGAAGCTGGAAAAGTCAGGAAACTGGATTCTCCTGTCGAGCTACCAGAAAGGAATGCAGACCTTTGACACCTGATTGAATTCCAGTGAAACCCATTTCAGAATTATGACTGTAAGACCTCCGCAAAAAGCATAATAAAATTATAATAAATAAAATATCAGTTAGTTTTAAGTTACAATAAAAAAAATAATATTAATACGGCTAACAGTGATATTAACAAGTGTGTTATATTAGGCTGTTAGGCCAAGTAGTTAAGTAATCTGGTCACATTAAGTAAAGCCTTTCCCCTAGATAGTGCTGGTCCTGGGAAATAGGGAAGTAAACTGGTTCTCAGAGGAGCAGTTAGATATTACTTGGAGATATGGGCAACAGAACATCCTGTTATGTACATGGGCCTCCTCCCCTGTGCTTTGCTCAAGCCTAACAAAGAAAACCACCAGGCACGTAAGGCACGTAACCATCTACTTCTCTTCCTCAAAAGACCCCCCTTGTCCATGTACTTTGCCTGTCTAATTGCCCAATGAACTTACGCCACCCTATAGTATGTTAATCTTGCCCAATGAACTTACGCCACCCTATAGTATGTTAATCTTGTGGTTTTGCCCTTTAAAAGCTGTGTGAGATGACTGCTCGGGGCTCTCTCTCTCTTTCTCGCCACTTGCAGCAGCAGAGAGCCCATTTGCGCAAATGAAATAAAACTGCCTCTTGCTTTTTGCATCGCCTGGTCTGGAGTCTGTGTTTCTGGGGTCATCACAAAAGGGCACCACTTTTGGGGTCCTTCAGTGACCTTCAAAATTGTGTGATGATGAGTTTGCATTTTTTAGCCACTAAATTTGTGGTGATTTGTTACAGAAGCGCTAGGAAACAGATACCATGTATTTTATTAATTGATGTTAAGCTAATCTTATATTCCTGGTATAAATCCTGGTTATTCATTGTATGCAATCCTTTTTATAGTTGCTGGATTTGTTGTTGACTGAAATAATCAGTCTGGTTGGACAGAGTTTATTTAGCAAGTCAAAGTGAGAACTCAAACCAGAAGCCCTCTGAATTGACTGCTTCATAGGCTTCTGTTTGGTAATAGTTTTTATGCTTTCTCTTACAGGGTGAGTATGTATTGAATCAGGTTTAAACAGGTAGATTTATATCACAGTTATCAATTACATTAAAAATCAAAAAAGAGGAGCCTGTAACACCAGCATCCCATATGGGTCCCAGTTCGTGTCTTGGCTGCTCCACTTCCAACCCAGCTCCCTGCTAATGGCCTGAGAAATCAGCAGATGATGGCCCAAGTACCTGGGCCTTTGCCACCCATGTGGAAACCTGGAAGAAGCTCCTGGCTCCTGGCTTTGGCCTGGCACATCACTGGTCATTGTGTCCATCTAGAGAGTGAACCAGTGGATGGAAGATCCCTCTTTCTCCCTCTCCCTGTCTCTCCATCTCTCTCTGTAACACTTTAAAAATAAATAAATAAATCTTTTTTTAAAAAGTCAAAGAATATCTGTCAATAATCACAGACTTGGTTATTGATTAAGCGGTTGTTAAACTATCTTCCTTTACCGGGAGTGGCAAACAGTGGGTTATTAATTATTCAGACCACAGCGCTGTTAGTCTCTAATGGCCCTAAGATCTAAAGCTTAGTACAGCAGATGTTCATGTGGTCACCGGGTTTGTTGAAGAGTCTGGTTGTCACTGAGGGACTGACTGCATGGTGTCTTGACAGCATGGACAGCGTCTCGCTAACTAAGGCCTCTCCAAGCCACAGTGTGCTCGTGTTTTGTTGAGGATCTTTAAGTTTATATTTGTGGGGGATCTTACTGTGGTTTCCTTTTTCTGTGGTAGCTCTAGGTTTGAAATAGCCTCACAGAATGAGATCAGAAGCGACTCTTCCACCTTAGAATCATCCCTCCACCTTCATTATGGTTTTGTTTCCATAATCTGTCTTTGTCCATCCTTTCCTTTCAACTTATTTGAAATCTACCTTTAATCTAGATTTCCCACATAACATTGTTACCAGAGAAACAAAGCGTCAGGCATGAGACAGAGCAGTGGAAAGCAAAGTAGCAAGGTTTATTAGGGTAGGGACATCCGTAAGAACAGATGCACACCTCTCCATGAAATCAGACATGAATGATTTTACACAGGGGTGTGGCGAAGGTATAACATTTAGGCTGGGGCTTTTAAGGGGATGGGTCTCGCCTTCCTGCCTTTTCTCTCTCCATCTTCTTCTTCAGAACAAAGGACTTGTTGGGTGTAAAAATGAAACATTCCTTTCTGAGTTTTCCCCCTAAAGTTGTCAGACAGGGGAAGCCTGGATGGCATTAGCCAAAGGGGCTTCTCTCTAGGGTGCCCACCTTAGAGGAAGGATGTTTAACAGGCCAGGTAGAAGGGGCAGGACCCCCTGGAAGGTCATCAGGGTCCAGGCAGGACTTTGAAGTGCAGATACTGGGCTGCACCTGGAAGGTTATGAGGTGACTTTGAAATGCAGATGCTGGACCGCTGTATATGTCAATTCCTTAGGCCCTTGTCACACACACGTTTCTGACTTCCTACCTAACAAAATCACAGAACAAAATACCATATGTAAAAAAAATCACAGAGAAAGCAATAAATGCCTGCTTTTAAAAAGTATTACTATGATATGTACACTACATCTTATAAGAGTGAGGACTACCTTTAATATTAATATGTTACTCATTTGTATACTCTGCTTTATATTTTATATCATTTAATCCTTTAGATAACCCTATGAGATTTAATAGTTATCATTCAAGTTTATACATAAGGAAACATTGACAGCTACTGTGAATTAATATATTATCGTGTTTTCTTTTATAGATCATTCACGAGAAGTCTTGCAGCGATTAGTAGGCCCAAACAAACTGAAACAAGTGACATGGACTGTGTATTGATGCCTTTTGAAGCTCATCAAAGCTGTGGAGGCTGATCAAAGCTACTTTCCCAGGAAACCGTCTGTACAGATTTGCTTTCCACTTAATTTAAGACTACTTTATTATTTTACCATCTTATTTAAGCTATAACTCTCAGAGAATCAGCTAACTCTAAGTGTACATGGTTTGTGCTCTGAAGTTAACCAGACCCTTAAACATTTCAATGTTGCTATTATTCTATACTTGTTTGGCGAGTCATTGTTTTTGAAATGTAATTCCAGCATGAACTCTTACCTATTGAGGAGGGACCAGAGCAGGGCATGAGTTTTGTTTCTTAAATAGCAAGGTTTTAAATCATTTGTTTTCCCCTGAGATTTCCTTCTCCTACGTAGACATTTGAGCTGTTTAAAGAGAAATTTGCTGATATTGGATAAACTGTTTGTTCTTCCTTAAGAAAAAAGTTCCTTCCTAATTATTTCCTGGCTTTTACCTTTTTGAAGTATTTAAATGCCATTTGCCAAAAGCAAAGCTGAACACTAGACCTGTTAAGTATTCACAGAATTTATATATCTCTTTGTTTCACGAAGTAAATACGTAAATGTCATAATTCACAACATCACACCTTAGCCACTGGGCTTGTTTATATTTGTAATGCCCTTGACCAGCTCCTTTCTCCGTTGATTTTTGTGCTGACTCTTCCCAAATATATTTTATTCTTCTGTGAGTCTTGTTCCTTAGCAAAACTACATTTAGAAATGTGTAAACATGAATAAATATGAAGTAGCATTACAGAGACTGTACCCTGAATCTCTTTTGATTTCACATTGTGAAATAAATAGCAAAGGTCATAGTTTCGAAAAGAAAACTTTTGAAAAACAAACAAAATTTTCTGACATATACTATGCTCAAATTACCCCCAAATTTATGCTGTGATCCTGGCTCAGGCTTTCTTAAACATTTCTTATTTTGCCTCTGATGTAGTGAAAAACATGAAAACAGGGGAAATACCATATATAACGAATCTTGTACATGCTTGGGGAGGGGCTACATATCCAACTCTATTTCTTGACTTTATAATGTGGCATGTTTATAATGTGGATATATGTATTGCCACTGCAAAGGTGGTGTGTGTGTATATATATAAAATGGGTAAGGCCTGTCTGTGAAATTTTCTACAGACAAACATGGTGAAATTTAATATTTAATTTCTAATATGTCAGTAGGCTCTTCCCCTTTTTTGCAGAAACTAGTTTCAGGATCTAAGGTATGAGCTTCTTAAGGTTTATAAAGGATTTATCTTACTAAACTGATTTGCACTTTTTTAAAAAAATTTTTATTCATTTACTTGGGAGGGAGGAAGAGGGAAAGAGAAAGAGGGCAAGCGAGCGAACATGCTCCATTTACTAGTTGAATCCCAAAATACCTGTAATGGCCAAGTCTGTGCCAGGGCCAAAGCCTGGGGCCAGGAACTCCATCGAGGTCTCCCATGTGGGCAACAGGAGTCCAATTACTTGAGCTGTCATTGGTGTCTCCCAGAGTCTCCATGAGCAGAAGGCTGGAGTCAGTAGCCAGAGCTGGGGATAAGCCAGGGGAGTCTGATGTGGAGCACAGGTGTTTTTTTTTTGTTTTTTGTTTTTTGTGTTTTTTTGACAGGCAGATTTAGACAGTGAGAGAGAGAGACAGAGAGAAAGGTCTTACTTTTTCCATTGGTTCAACCCCAAGTGGCTGCTACGGCCGGCGCACTGCGCCAATCTCAAGCAAGGAGCCAGGCACTTCCTCCTGGTCTCCCATGCAGGGAGCACAGGTGTCTTAAGCAGCTTCTTTACCCCAAGGCTAAATGCTTAGTCCTGCAGTTTGTATCTGGATTTTCTTGCTTTTTGTTGTTTTTGTTGTTGCTAGTTGTATTAGCTATTTTACAGTACTTTTTTAAAAAATAGGAGTTTACTTCAAAAAGTTCATGGAAATGGGATTAAAAGATAATCTTACTTTGATGCAAAAATACTTTGAAATACATGCATTGTTTTTTAATAATATGACTTCCCCATTGACTTCTTGAAGACCCCTAATATCAATACCTTCTCTGTCTAGGGATCCTCACCACTATGTATCAGTCTCCCGTCCTGGTATCATTTTCACTCATGCCTCCTTGTTTTTCTATCTATCACCATCTGATACCTGTTTTATGTTTAATTTGATCAAAATCTGTCTCCCACTCTAGAATATAAACTTCATGAGAACAGAATATTTGTCTTTTTTTTCATTGCTTTAAAACAGTGCCTGTTCGCTGTGGTACAACGGGTTAAAGCCCTGGCCTTAAGCGCTGGCATCCTATATGGGCGCTGGTTCTAGTCCCAGCTGCCCCTCTTCCGATCTAGCTCTCTGCTGTGGCCTGGGAAAGCAGTAAAAGATGGCCCAAGGACTTGGGCCCCTGCACCCACATGGGAGACCTGGAAGAAGCTCCTGGCTCCTGGCTTCAGATCAGCACAGCTCCGACCGTTGCAGCCATCTGGGGAGTGAACCAGTGGATGGAACACCTCTCTCTCTGTAACTCTTTCAAATAAATAAAAGTAAATTTTTTTTGACAGGCAGAGTGGACAGTGAGAGAGAGAGAGACAGAGAGAAAGGTCTTCCTTTACCGTTGGTTCACCCTCCAGTGGCTGCTGCAGCCGGCGCAATGCAGCCGGCGCACCACGCTGATCCGAATCCAGGAGCCCGGTGCTTCTCCTGGTCTCCCATGGGGTGCAGGGCCCAAGGCCTTGGGCCATCCTGCACTGCACTCCCAGGCCATAGCAGAGAGCTGGCCTGGAAGAGGGGCAACCGGGACAGAATCCGGCGCCCCGACCGGGACTAGAAACCGGTGCCTGGCATCTTAATCCTCTCATTAGCTTAGCGAGCCTCCGCACCGGCCAATAAAAATTCATCTTAGCTAAAAGAAAAAAAAAAAAAAAAAAAAACAGCTCTCTGCTGTGGCCAGGGAGTGCAGTGGAGGATGGCCCAGGTGCTTGGGCCCTGCACCCCATGGGAGACCAGGAAAAGCACCTGGCTCCTGGCTCCTGCCATCGGATCAGCGCAGTGCGCCGGCCGCAGCGCGCCGGCCGCGGCGGCCATTGGAGGGTGAACCAACGGCAAAGGAAGACCTTTCTCTCTGTCTCTCTCTCTCACTGTCCACTCTGCCTGTCAAAAAAATAAAAAAATATATATATATAAAACAGTGCTTGTTACATAGTAAGTACTCAAATACTTGTTGAATGAACGAATAGGAAAGAAACACAGGAAGAAAAAAATAGATGTAACACCCATATTTCCAATACCAGTTCAATTTATTTCTTTCAGTGTAAAGAGATTGGAAATCGTCACTCCCATCTTCATAAGAAAAAAGCCCCATACATTTAAAAGTCAACACCACTTCCTAGATTCATCAGAAAGTTAAGGTCAAAGGAAAAATCAAAATTGGAAAACCAAGTGAATGCAAAGAATTGCAGCTCATCAGGAGCAGAAGCCTGCTGTACCCTGCTGCTGGAGCCAGGACCAGTAGGACTCACACTTACAGTATAGTTGAGTTTTTGGAGGCCCCATTTGATGAGCGTGGAGGAGAACCACCATATTCTCAGGGCGAAGATTAGAGAAACAGCCCCCTCTACTACCAGCGGGTACATGAAAAGTAACCATTGTGAAATAATGCTCTGTGGTGTAGCGGGTAAAGCCATCGCTTGCAGTACCAGCTTCCCATGTGGGTGCCAGTTCAAGTCCCAGCTATTGCTCTTCTGATCCAGCTGCGGCCTGGGAAAGCAGTGGAAGGTGGCCCAAGTCCTTGGACCCCTGCACTCGTGTGGGAGACCTGAAAGAAGCTCCTGGCTTCTGGCTTCAGATCAGTGAAGCTCCAGCCATGGGAGCCATTTGGGGAGTGAACCAGCGGATAGACGATCTCTCTCTCTCTCTCTCTCTCTCTCTCTGCCTCTGCCTCTGCCTCTGCCTCTGCCTCTCTGTAACTCTGCCTTTCAAATAAATAAATAAATCTTAAGAAAAAAAAAGTGCACAAGTATTCTATTTTCCTTAATAAACACTGGCCCTCCAGGGAAACTTGCCAGAGCCTAAGTGACCTGGGAGAAAAGAAGTATCCAGCCTCAGCCTATCTGTGCTTCCTGTCTCACCAAAGAGGAGGAAAGAAAGGCTGAGAAAGATTTGTGAAAGTGACAGTCCAGGGGCACGGGCTGACAGAGACAGACCTAATCCATGACCACAGAACACGCCCCTTCGCCCTCACCTTACCTCCACATTAAACAGGCCACCACACATGAACAGAGGATTACGGCTGGAAGAAACACAAGCCTCAGACAGTACTGAAGTAGAAATCAGGAGAGACAAAAACTAGAGGAAAACTTAGCCTCTGAAACCTACTCTACCCAGAGAAAACATGAAACCTCATATTACCCCAGTTTACCTGTTTTTACAACAAAGGAAAATCAAAAAGCATGCCAAAAGACAAAACACACACACACACACACACAATTAGAAGAGACACAGCAGGCATCAGAGCCCAACTCAGAGATGGATGAGATTTTGGCTTATCAGAAATTTGAAATAGTATGATTAATGTGCTAAAGACTCTAATGGAAAAGCAGACATAAATATTTTTAATAGAAATGAAGAATTCCTTTCACAGAGGCATAATTAGACTGCTCTTGGCCAAGGAAAGAATCAGTGAGCTTGGATTTGTCAACAGAAACCTCCCAAACTGAGAAGCAGAGAAAAAAAAAAGAGAATGAAAAAAAAAAAAAACACAACTTCGGGACAGCTACAAAAGGGGTACCACACATAATGGGAAGAGCAGAAGACGGAGAACCTAAGAAATACCTGACTGAGATGATGGAAACTGACAGTTTCCCTAAATTATTGACAGACATCCAATCTCACATCCAGAAGAAGTTCAGAGAACACCAGGCAAGATAAATTCTCAAAAAACTATACCTGTGCATTTTCCAACTGTAGGTAATCAAAGAGAAAAACCTGAAAGAAGCTAGGGAAATAAAATGCCTTACCTGCACAACAATAAAATTAAGAATTTCACTGGGTTTCTTGAGAAACCATGCAGCAAGCCCGAGGAGTATAACAGAGATGGTCCCTGACTTAGAATGATTCCACTCACAACTGTTTCACTTTACGATGGTGCAAAAGCGACAAGCATTCAACGGAAACCTCCTTGATGTCTGGTCTTTTCCTGGACCAGCAGTGTGTGATGCAATCCTCTCTCATGACGCTGAGCAGTGAGTGAGCTCATGACGTGAGCTAAAGCTTCGTCAGCCACACAATTACGAGAGGAAAGGACTGATACCCTACAGTGCACTGCACTGCTGAGCTATGTTGTGCGGTAGGTTAAGGTGTGGGAAATGCATTTTTTACTTTTTAAGACCTAACCCCCTTGTAAGTTGAGCAGCATCTGTACTTGTATTGAAAGAAAAATTGCCAAGCTAGAATTCTGTATCCAGAGAAAGTATCCTTCAAAAATAGAAAAATGCTTTCTTAAATGAATGTAGGTGGAATTTTTAACAAATATACTGCCCCACAAGAAATGTTAAGAAGTCATTTTGCTAGAAGGAAAATTGTATAGGTCACGAACATAGATCTATATAAAGAAATTTAGAGTATTAGGGAAAGAATAAATGAAGTTAAAGTCTTTCTAAAAATTATTTATTTGAGAGGCAAAAAGACAGAGCTCCCAACTACTGGTTCACTCCCCAGATATCAGCAAGGGCTGGGCCCAACTGAAACTAGTAATGGGCACTCAGTCCAGGTCTCCCATGTTGGTGGCAGGGAACGATTAACTGAACCATCACCAGTGCTTCCCGGAATCTGCATCAGCAGGAAGCTGGAATCAGGACACAGAGCCAGGACTCAATCCCTGTACTCTTATGTGGGACGTGGGCACATTCACCCATGTCTTAACTGCTAAGCTAAACACCTGTCCCAAAGTTACAGTCCTTTATTTTTCTTAATCTTAGTTGATCTCATAATTTGTTCAAAATAATAGCAACAATGTATTTGGTAATTATAGTTTATGGATAAGTGAAGTGAATGAGGGAAATTGTATAAGGGCCAGGAGGAAGAATTGGGAATACTCTGTATAAAGTACTTATGCTACCCATGAAGGGGTACAGTGTATTTGAAAATAGACTTTGATTAGTTACAAATGTATACTGCAAACATTAAAAAAAAAAAGTATAATTAATAGCCTAAGAGAAAAAATGGAATGATAAAATGCTTAATTAAAACTAGATAAAACAAGGGTAGAAGACAAAAAAAAGAAAGAAAGAAAGAAGAAAAAGGGCAATAAAATAGGAATAATTTACATATTAGCAGATATCAGTAATCATGCTAAATATAAATGATCTTAATACAAACCAGTAGGCTACAAAATCATTTTAGAGCTCACCGATATGTACATGGGAGACTAAAAAATATTTTAAGTAGCATCTGGATACCTCAAAGACATTCCTGTGCTGTTCTTCTAAATGATTCAGAGGATAACAAAGTTTATGGGTATTTAAACTGAAATCTACTTGACCTCTTCAAGTGGATTTACAACAGTGCTCCAAGTACAGTTTTCTTGAATTTTCTCTCATCTTGCTGAGAAGAGTAGTAACCAGCAGAAGACCCGGAATTTTCAAAGAATATCTCGAGAATTACTTCCTCTCAGGTGCCATCTAATGCCATTACACCCTGTAATTTCTATTCATTTTAACCAAGACTGAATAAAAATTCTAGGTTTATACTTTTAAAATCCCAGTAGACACCAAGGAAAATTTAAAGCATCAAGGGCTGATTCACTAGGCTATAATAAACTCTGACCCCCAAAGCTCAAGAATCAAGAAATGCCAAGATCCAAAATAATAATAATAATAATAATAATAAAGGGGCTGGCATTGTGACTCAAGAGGGGTAAGTTGGTGCCCACAATGCCAGCATCCCATATAGGCATTGGCGTCCTGGCTGTTTCACTTCTGACCCAGCTCCCCGCTAGTGCATGTGGGAAAGCAGCAGAAGACACCCAAGTACTTGAGCCCCTTCCACCCACGTGGGAGACCCAGATCGAGTTTCAGGATCCTGGCTTCAGCCTGATCCTGCCCTGGCCATGGAGTTATTTCAGAGTGAACAACTAGGTGGAAGATCTCTCTGTCTCTCCCTCTCTCTCTGTAACTTTGCCTTTCAAATTAATGAATAAATCTTTTAGAGAGAGAGAGAGAAAGAGAGATGTCAGGATACTCTGCAACTTCAACTCCAAAACTCCCATCAATTATGCTATTTTCCTGCCTAAACAACAACTTGCCCTTAATTGCTTTTTCCAGTATTTCTGCCATATAACTCTGATCCAGTCTCCTAGGTATCCCAATCCCAGTGGCAGTGCAGTGTATATTATTAGAATGCATTTAATCCAAATGCTACACATAATTCCCAAGCAGTGTATGAGAACAAGAGGGTATATCAGAAGGGCTACATTTGATGCCTCACTTGTTTTTTGTTTTTTTGTTTTTTTTGTTTTTGTTTTTGTTTGTTTGTTTTTGACAGGCAGAGTGGACAGTGAGAGAGAGAGAGACAGAGAGAAAGGTCTTCCTTTTGCCGTTGGTTCACCCTCCAATGGCCACCGCGGCCGGTACACCGCGCTGATCCGAAGCCAGGAGCCAGGTGCTTCTCCTGGTCTCCCATGGGGTGCAGGGCCCAAGGACTTGGGCCATCCTCCACTGCACTCCCGGGCCACAGCAGAGAGCTGGCCTGGAAGAGGGGCAATAGGGACAGAATCCGGCACCCCGACTGGGACTAGAACCTGGGGTGCCAGCGCTGCAAGGCGGAGGATTAGCCTAGTGAGCCACGGCGCCGGCCTGATGCCTCACTTGTAACATATATAGCAGTGGTGTTTAGTTTTCTATTAGAGAAATGGAAATAAAGAACATGCTATTAGTATAAAATTCTAAGACTAAGTACTAAGATTCCTTCCTACCCCAGCCCACAAGCCATTTGGCTCCCTCAGAAGGCAGCCATTGTTACCAGTCCCTTACTTATCTTTCTAGAGAATGCACACATGTATATACACATTTTTATGTAAATAGTAGTATGCTACATACTTTATTCTTCCCATTATTTTTCATCTGTTTGATAGTGTTTTATTTTTATGTAAAATTCTGACAATGTGGGGCATGTAGTGACATAACAAGTTTCTTGGTAACCTTAGTAAAACATAGAGTCATTGTAAGGTGTCAGAGCACAGAGAGAGAAGGAAATTCTGAGTCATTTTCCCCATGATTGTTAAATGAGGCCCTACTAGATACTAAATATTATATTACGAATTTTACATTTTAACTTATACAATAACCCTTTGAAGTGAGACTTACTGAATTTTTTTCTAAAGATTTATTTCTATTTTATTTGAAAGACAGAGTTGCAGAAAGAGAGCCAGAGAGAGAGGTCCTGCATCCACTCATTCACTCCCGAGATGAATGCAACGGTCAGAGCTGAGCTGATCAGAAGCTGGGAGCCAGGAACTTCTTCCAGGTCTCCCATGTGGGTACAGGGGCCCAAGGACTTGGGCCATCTTCTACTGCTTTCCCAGGCCACAGCAGAGAGCTGGATTGGAAGTGGAGCAGCTAGGACTCAAACCGGCACCCATATGGAATGCCAACACTGCAGGCTTGGGCTTTAACCCGATGCACCACAGCACCAGCCTCAGGCCTGATGAATTTTATTACTACTTCATAGATTAAGAAGTTAAAGTTTAGAGAGAATTTAACTAGCCCAAAAATCACACCAGGAAGTGGTGGAGCTTTCTGGCTCCCAAGGACATTCTTAGGGATTGAATAGGATTTGGCTCCCCAGATTCATGTGGACATTTCACCTGAAAGTCTTACTTGTTGGGGGTGGGGGTGGGGGGTACTGTGGTGCAGTGGTTAAGCCGTCTGTAGTGCTGGCATCCCATATGGGCTTCAGTTTGTGTCCCAGCCGCTCCACTTCCTATCCACCTTCCTGCTGTCGTGTCTAGGAAAGCAGTGGAAAATGGCCCAAGTACTAGGGCCCATGCACCCAGGTAGGAGACTTGGCCTGGCCGAGCCCAGGCCATTGTAGCTATTTGGGGAATGAACCAGCAGATAGAAAATCTCTCTCTCTCCTCTCTCTCTCTCTCTCTCCATCTGGCCTTCCCTCTCTGAACTATGCCTTTCAAATAAATTAATCTTTTTATAAGAAGTCATTTGTTTTTAATGGTTACTTTTATTTTCATCTACTTTAGAGGCAGAGCAGCAGAGACAAAGGACAATATTCCATCTGCTGGTTCACTATCCAGATGCCAACAGCAGCAGAGCGAGCCAGACCAAAACCCTGGGTCTCCCTTGTGGGTGCAAGCACTTGAGCCATCGTGTGCTCCCAGGGTGTATTAGCAGGAAGCTGGATCAGAAGCAGAGCAGCTGGGACTCACACCAGCACTCCAGTATGGGATATGGGCATCCCAAGTGGCAGCGTAACCCTGTGATGCCCACCCCCTAAAGTCTTATGTTAATCTTTGATGGATTAAGGGTGGAGAAGTGATCTAATTATGGTGTCTAGGAAGTGGGCCTAGTGAAATGTTGAAATGTTTTTATAACACTGAGGATGTACCTCAGAAGGTAGTGTTTGAGAGAGGATTGGTCCTGGGCTGGCATTGTGGTGTGGCAGGTTAAGCTGCCACCTGCAACACTAGCATCCCACATCAGAGCACCAGTTCAAGTCCCAGCTGCACTGCTTCCAATCCAGCTCCCTGCTAATGCACCTGGGACAGATGCAGTAGATGGCTCAAGTACTTTGGCCCATGCCACACCTGTTGGAGATAAAAGCCAAGCATGTTCCTGGTTTCTCCTTGCTGCCTGGCTCACCTCCACACCAACCTGCCATGACCAGCTCCCACTAGATGTCAGACTCAGGAGCCACCTGATCTTGGACTTCAAACCTTGAACTGCCAAGCCAGAATAAACCTTTTCCCTGCCAAGAAGCTCCTCCCAAGTATTTTAGTTAAGCAAACAAAAACTTGACTAATACACTCATGTACTCTATACTAACTGCATTGTTGATCTTTACCAATAACTTTTTAAAATATGGTATTCTGGAGTGGGTGTTGTAGTACAGCAGGTTAAGCCTAGTCTCTTAGGATGCCCACATCCCATATCAGAGTGGCAGCTAAAGTCCCTGCTATTCTGCTTCCAGTCCAGCTTTCTGCTAATGTACCTGAAAGCAGTGGATGCCGCCTCTGATTCTTGAGTTTGGGCCACCCATGTGGGAAACCTAGATGGAGTTCTTGGCTTCTGGCTTTGACAGCCCAGCCCCAGCGGTTGTAGCCACTTGGGGAGTGAACCTGTGGATAACATGTCTCTCTGTGTCACTCTGCCTTTCAAACTGTAGATTCTGCTACAGTATCTAATTCCCCTTCACTCATTAAATTACCCACTACTACCCATAATCATATTCCTACAATAGTAAAACCAAAAAAGAAAATTATGCACAGAGAAAGGTGCACCTAGCATGCACAGAAATGCAGAACAAGTCCCTTGACAAAGGCTGACAACACTTTAAGCCTTCATACTTTGGAATCAACACGTGCCATTTAATAAGACTTAAAGATTTATGTTCTTTAAGCTGGAGAATGTCTCCTGTGGGGAAAGCAGTCAGGGATAAATCCAAAAATAACTATGTTTGTACTTGGAAGCACTTTGACAAGTTAAGGCTGGAAATCCCACACCGAGCTTGTGGTTAGTCCATTGTTGTCCTGCCTGGTAGATTCTGTCAGGGGATAGTCCACCACCTTATGCAGCTGATGCTGAATGCTGTGGACGCTGAACTGGGGCCGCCCAGGGTCACCAATCAGCACGCGGGTTCTGTGGGTCCAGCAGCAGTCCTTGAGCCACTGGTGGAGACGGTCTGCGAGGTCTGCATCATAGAACATGTCTCCAAGTACAACCAGGTCCCACCGACCTCGTTCCAAATTCAAAATGTCTTGGGTTAAAATGGGAACAGGATCCAGTTGGTTCAATTCACAATTCAGTGTAATGGCCACTCCTGCAACTTTAAAAACGATGTAATGAATTAGTATATGCTAGGCTGCTTTGATTCCCTACTGATGAATTTAAATGATTTAGAAACTCTCCTGACAATGTGGGTATTCCCTTTTTCTTGAACACTGTTTTTTTAGGTAAAGGAAACCTAATATTTACACTACCATGAGCTACATTCTGCATATTCTAAATGTATAACTGAATATCCTAAAACAAAAGAAATAATACAAGACACCTGGAAATGCTGGATTTTAAGAACATGTGCTAATCTCAATATCCAAGAAACTTGGTTTTTTACTATGGACAGTTCCACAAGCTTGGGCTTGAGCAAGGTAGCAAGTTATAACTGACACCCTGCTGTGTTTTTTAAAAACAGGATCTCCCAGGACTGTATCTCCCCCAGGGGCAGGCGTTTGCCCTAGTGGCTGAGATTTAAGATGCCACTTGGGACGCCTGCATCCTGCACTGGAGTGCTTAGGGTCAAGTTCCAGCTCTGCTTCTCACTCCAGCTTCTTGCTAATGCACACCACAGGAAGCAGCAGGAGACGGCTCAGTACTTAGGTCCCTGCCTCGCATGTGACAGGCATGGGTTGAATTCCCAACTCCCAGCTTTGGCCTGGCCCTTATTTTTAAAGTATGAAATCCTTACCAGGGTCTATGTCATTGGCCAGAATCCTTGATGCTCCACTCATCTTTGCAGCAATAGCTGTAGCTCCACATCCACTCCCAAGATCTAATATGGATTTTCCTCTGACAACATCAGGATTATCCAAAATATACCTAGAGGCAAAGAGAGAAAATGTGTCTTACAGAAACAGGAAAAAGTCAGTAAAAGGTATCCCAAAAATAAAAAGAGAGAGAGAGAATGACTTGGGGATGACTCAACAAAAAACTAGTGGAACTTAGCAGAAGAACTTGGTTCAACCTGGACAAGTTTGGCCTGACTTGAGTGAAACATGAAATCCATGTTCAGGGATGGACAGAGGCAGCAGGAGAGGGAACCTTGGTCTTTCTCTTCAGCAGCCTTGAAGGAGCTAGTTATGTTCCTCACATCGACATCTTCTCGAAAGGGTGTTGAAGGGCAGGCGTTGTGCAGCCGTAGGTTGGGCTGATGCTGGAGATGCCCACATTGGATGCCTTCTGATCCAGCCGCCTGCTGTGCACCTGGAAGGCAATGAATGATGGCCCCATGTGGGAGCCCCTGCTGGAGTTCCTGGCTCCTGGCTTTGGCCTGGCCCTGCCCTTGCTATTATCAGGCATTTGGGAAATGAACCAGCAGATGGAAGCTCTCTCCCTATCTGTCTCACTGTCCCTCTCTCTTTCACTTTGCCTTTCGAATAAAAATAAATAAATCTTTTTTAAAAAGGGGTATTTAGCACTTACAATGATCCAAAAACTAGGAATTAAGATTGACCAAAAAAAAATGCTAAAATAGAACTAAGTATACTTGACCCAAAATTCAGCTTCATTTTGATTATTTATCATAGAATATTTGACTCATTTGCTTGAATTTTATTATAATGACCTCTTTTGTTAGGCCAACCAAGGAATTTGGACCAATACTAAATAGTTATCAAACATGTGAAGATGGATAAGACACCAAAATAATAAATGTCAGCTGACATTTGGTGTTAGAATTGGGTATCAAAGAACAGTGGGGACTATGGCAAAGTAGAGTTGTACGTGCTTCGGCTCTTTGGGCCAAGTCGCCACCAGAATTCCAGTGTTCCCAGACATTTTTACATGAAATCTACTTTTTTCTTTAAGTTTCACCAGTACAGGCCAAACAAAACACACTTATGGGTCCCTCAGTTTATAACTCTGATTCAGTCTCAAAGAAGTTGACTGAGCTGAAAATCAGTCACTTCAAGAGACGTCTCTTAAACTGTCAGCATTTTAAACCTACGCTGAGGCAGACGTCGGGGACAGCAGTTAAAGATGCCATGTGGGACGCCCACGTCCCGTGCCGAAGGTCCTATGTTTGAGTCCCATGCCACTCACACTTGCGAGACCTGAACTGAGTTCTTGTCTCCTGGCTCCTCTTGGCCCAGTTTCTGGCTGTGGTAGGCATTTATGGAGCCAGCACATGAGAACAAATGGGATTTCTTTCTCTCTCTGCCTTTCAAACAAAAATGAATAAGTTTTTAAAAATAAATGTTGTAACTAAATAAAGCTTGAAAATCTGGGAACACAGCAACCAGAATATTAAATTGTTTGATATCACCTGAAAAATTTTCACATTTAAAACTATATTGGGGGCCGGTGCTGTGGCTCACTTGGCTAATCCTCCACCTGTGGTGCCAGCATCCCATATGAGCTCCGGGTTCTAGTCCCGGTTGCTCCTCTTCCAGTCCAGCTCTTTGCTGTGGCCCGGGAGGGCAGTGGAGGATGGGCCAAGTGCTTGGGCCCTGCACCCTCATGGGAGACCTGGGGGAGGCACCTGGCTCCTGACTTCCGATTGGCGTCGCCATTTGGGAGGAGAACCAGCAGAGGGAAGACCTTTCTCTGTATGTCTCTCTCTCACTGTCTAGCTCTATCTGTCAAATTAAAAAAAAAAAAAAAAAAAAAAAAAAAAAAAAAAAACAACACTATACTGGGTGGGGTATTTGGCCTGGCAGTTAAGATGGGAACGCCCCACATCAGAATCCCTGGGTTTGGTTCCCAGCTCTATTTTCTGACTCCAGCTTCCTGTTAATTCAGACGCTGGGAGGCAGCAGTGATAGGTCAAACAATGGGGTTCCTGCTACACATATGGGAGACCTGGATTGGGTTCCTAGCTCCTGTCTGTTGTGGGCATTTGAGGAGCGAGCCAATGGATGAGAAATCGCCATATGTCTGTCCCTGTCTCTCTCAAATAAACAAACTTCTTAAAAAATGAAACCATATACAACATGAATTCTATAGGCTACACCATTCCTTTGAAACAGAGTGCTTATCACCCTTTTGTTTGTTTTATAACCCCAAAGCATAAACAGATGACATAATTTCCCAATCCTAGATGAAGGCTCATGAAAAGCTCCTGCCTTTGCTTCAGCAGTACTGATAACATTTGGCTCTGTGAGAAAATGCCCTGAGAATACCTGCGCAGTGTGGAGAGTTGGGAGGAGACCTTAAAAATGTGGATTCAAGGGGTGGGGGTGGGGGCATAGCACAGCGGGTTAATCTGCAGCCTGAGATGCTGGCATCCGTATGAGCATGTTGGAGTCCCAGCCTCTCCACTTCCTATCCAGCTCCTTACTACTGTGCCTGGGAAAGCAGTGAAAGATAGACCAAGTGCTTGGGCCCCTGCCACCCAGGTGGGAGACCTGGATGGAATCCCAGGCTCCTGGCTACAGCCTGGCCTATATCGTCTGTTGTGGCTATCTGGGGAGTGAACCAGCAGATAGAAGATCTCTGTGTCTCTTTCTCTTTCTCTTTCTATCACTCTGCCTTTCAAATAAATCTTTAGAAAAAAAATACTAAGCTTGTGTCAGAAGGTGAAAACAGCATGCAAAAATATAGCTAAATTGGTCTAAATATAAAAACAAGAATCCTTTGGGGCTTGGAGTTCTTAGGGGGTGGGATTACACTTTTATTTACTCTTATTAATAAGGAGTCCACTTCTCCGACTGCCAAGAAGTTCTGGCAGTAACCTCATCGCACATCAGTCTTCCAGTTACAATCCCTGTCCTCTCTCAACTTAACTGAGAACCCAGACTCCTGAGGCCCTCCTGTTCCTGGCAAAGGCCAAAGCCGGACACGCCAGCGCTGTTCCTAGAGGAGACAAAGGAGACAACTCTGTTCCCCGGGAGACAGACCCTCCACCTTGCTTTAGGAGGCAGTCACAGTCCCAAACCTGTGCGGGCCTCCGTGACTTCCGATGGTTTTGGTGGGGGCAGCAGTGTTGGAGGGAGCTGAAAAGCCAAAGGAACTGTAATAGCCCTGCAGGTTCACCACTCAGCGGGGCAGTACCTGGACAGGGCCTGGCCTCCGGGCCAGTAGACTGCCCAGTAGGGTTCCCTGTGCGGCCACCGGCCAGCCTTTTCCCACCAGAACTTGCATCTGGGAGTCAGAAGTCGCAGCTGGATTTCGGGAGTGAGGCTGCCACGGCTGGTGACTTCGGTGTTCTCCTCCAGAAAAGCTTTCAGCGCTGGGTCCAGAGAGCTGCCCGCGCAGTGGCCCCGGGGACACAGGGGGAAAGCCCCGCCTCTGCCAGCCCTCAGGAGCCTGCAGCCACTCCCCGAGGCTCGCAAAGCCATGAGGCCTCCTCCAAAACACGCGTCCGCGGATGTCACGTGGTCAGGGCTGCTCCTCACGGAAGTGCAAGGTCTGTCTCCAACTTGATCTCAAGCAGAACGTCTGGGTCTCTGAAAGCAGAGAATACTGACAAGTTCAAGGCTGACCAGCATCTCCAGATGCTGAGATAAAAGACTGCAGTGTGAGCTCCAGACCTGACATTCACAAGTGTGAATTCTTTCATACCAACGCCTGGGCCGTCAACCTGGGGAAATCCAGTCTCTTAAAGGGATGCCTCTTCACAGCAGAACGCTTTTCCTAACCTAGAGGAATGCGTAATTAAATTAAATGCTTATGCAGATCCTCAGGAAAATGCCTCTTCTATAAAATAAGGTGTAGCTTTACAGTTCTTTCATGCATTTTGTAAATGAGTTCTCCATAAGCAGGCATGGCGGACAACTAGGCACAAAACACACAACAGTCCCTGAGTTCGGGAAGCTTTATTGTACTGCTGGGACAGGGCAGTCATCAAGGCACAGCTGTTGCCTTTCTGAAATCCAGCCGAGAGCTGTGGGGTTACCGAATTATACTGTGGGCAGATACGCAAATACTGATTACATTGCACCACTAAAGAACGTTGATTCACAAAGTGATGCAATCAAGGTTCAGATTATTTCTTTGGAAAAAAAAAAAAAAAACTATGGATTTAACTAATAAAAACCATCAACTCCCAAATCTCTTTCTGTAAATATCTCTGTTGACTGGATTTTACAAAGTCTGGTCTGAAAACACATATTCCGATAGCAACAGCTCCACTCGATTAAGTAGGAACGACAAACAACAACTTAAACACAAATTAGACACCCAGGTGTTTGGGGCTCTAGTCTGTTCTGCAAATATATGTAAATCAGTCTTTTTTTTAATTACTTCATTTTTTATTTATTTGAAAGGCAGAGGGACAGACAGAGATCTCTCACTCACAGGTTCACTCACCAAAAGCCATTAACAGCCTGTATTGGGCCAAGGCAAAGCCAGGAGCCTGGAACTGAGTCCAGACCTCCCACATGGGTGGAGGGACCCAGGTACTCAGCCCTGACTGCTGCCTCCCAGGGTGCCCGTGAGCACGAAGCTCTCACCTATGGGATGTGGCATCTAACCAGGAAGGCGAACGCCTGCCCCTGACAGGTCCGCTCAGGTATCAGAAACTGAGCAGGGATCAAACGCCGAGGGCTACAAGGCACAGGATGCAGGCTGGGGGAAAGACAGGATGGGCTGCGGCGAACGTAGACTCCGCATGCTGCCGGGTGTTCCAACTGCTCAATCCCGAAATGCAGTTATTTACACTTAATTTCCACGCGCGATTCGTGCACGGCAGGTCCTAGTCTGAGAACGGAGTAGCCTTCCAGGGGGCATTCGCCGTCCCACCGTGATGACAGGGGATCCCACGCTCCGGGAGTCCACCTTAAAGGGGCAGGTGCCGCCCGCCCTGTCTCCTCACCTGGATTAGCCAGCACGGAGCGCGCAGAGCTCCAGCGCCACTGGCGCTCGCGGCGCGCGGGGCCCGCAGCCGGTGGGGAGGCTGGCACGGGGCGCGCGGGGCCCAGGCGGGCTGCTGGACCGGGGCGGGCTGCGGGGCCCGGCTCCGCCCTCGCTCCCAGCAACGCTCGCTCTCCCCCCCCACCCCCCAGCCCCGCGCTTCCTTCAAAGGGCAGGAAGTGCGCAAACCCGGGGGCGCCCTGGGGAATCGGTGCACTGTCTGCCGACCTGTGATTTCTAAAACCAGTCCTTCTGAGGCGTTGCGTGTAGCATTTGCTGCGTGCCAGGCACACCGCGGGCCCTGCGCAAAGCGTAGGGAGTGGAGCCCCGAAGAAGCCTTTAGGACGCTGGCACTGGACTGCGTTTCAGTCGTCACGGACGGCCTCGCTGTTGTAAGAATTTTCCTCCATGCAAAATGTAAATCCCTCTGCACCTTGATCACTCCCCTTCTGCACCCAGGTGTCCGTCTGACCTTCCGTGCCCCCAGGAACTCACCGCCTCGCCTGAGCTGCGCCCAGGAGCAGCACCAGTCGCTGGGGTTCCCGCTTTCCCTGCAGAGTGGAATTCAGGAGCTGCGGCAGGGAAGTGAAACCTGAAATCCCTTGTCAGTTGCTTCCTGATAACGGATGGGATTCGGTTTCCTTGGGACCTGCACTTATTAACTTCTAGGCTGCTTTTTATTTAAAAGGTATTTATTTATTTAATTTTATTTGGAAGCCGAATGTCAGAGAGAATCTTCCATTGACTGGTTCACTCCCGAAATGCCTGCAACAGCTCAGGCTGAGCCAGGAACTCAATTCAGGTCTCTGTGCGTGGTGGAGACCCATAACCTGCTGCCTCCCAGGTGTGCACTGGGAAGAAGCTGGATCAGAAGGGGAGGCCTGACTGTGTCCCAGGCCCTCTGGTGTGGGTGAGGGCATCCCACACAGCGGTTTAACTTCTCTACCACAAGGCCTGACATTGCTTTTTAAAAATTGGCTGCTGGGGCCAGCATGGTGGCACAGCCGATGAAGCTGCTGCTTACAGCCCAGCACTGCATCTGAGCCCTGGCCGGAGTCCTGGCTGCTGCAGTTCCAATCCAGCTTCCTGCTGATGTGCCTGGTGGCAGCACATGAAGGTCCCAGTACTTGGGCCCCTGTCACCCAGTGGGAGACCTGGATAGAGTTTTTGGTGTCTGGCTTTGGCCTGGCTCAGACCTAGCTGTTGTGGCCTTTTGGGGAATGAACCAGCAGGTGGAAGATCTGTGTCTCTCTCCCCTGACCCCCACCTTTGTCTCTCCCTCTCTCTGATGCTGTATCTTTCAAATAAATACTAAGTAAATCTTTAAAATAAGTGAAGTTAGCTGCTTTGGTAAATCTTTTTTTTCTCCTCTACTAACAACTTGTGATTTTCACACATTTGATACTCTGGCTAGCAGTAAACCGCAGTACAGGCTCAAGATCGACTTGTCTAAGAAGTGTTTTCAGCTGCCTCCCATATTCACAGTGAATAGCTCAGACATCCCACTTGCTGCTTAGGAAACCAGAGGGAAGAGGCAACCTTAGCATTAACAAAAAAAAAAAAAAAAAAAAAGATTTATTTATTTATTTGAAAGGCAGAGCAACAGAGATGGATTAAGAAACAGAGAGAGAGAGATCTTCCACCTGCTGGTTCACTCCCCAGGTGGCCACGACAGCCAGGTCTGGTGCAGGAACCAGGAACTCCATCTAGATCTCCCGTGGACAGTAGGCATCCAAGCACTTGGGCCATCTTCTGCTGCCTTCCAGGCACCTAGCAGGAAGCTGGACTGGAAGTAGAATACCCGGAACTCAAACCAGTACCTACCTTCCTTGCTCCCTCCTTCCCTCCCTCCTCCCTTCCTTCCGGGTTGGGAGCAAATACCTTCTGGAATGAGGACCTTAAAGACCTACCGTCAGACAGAGTGGGCCAGAGGATCTCTGAGGGCCAGTGCCTACACAGGTGGGGAGGCCGGAGGAACGCCCTGGGGCTCTGGGGCTGGTCTTGGGGAGGGAGGGATTCTGTTCTCCAGGACCCACCTTGGGAAGGGGGACTCTAGTTTCTGCGGCTCACCCCCAGAGGGCTGAGGGGTGAGAGACAGATTAGCAGGATAAGTTCAGAGAGACACTTTGTTCTGGGGGCCTTTCAGGAACTGTTTTCTGAGCCTGAACAGGGTATATTGAAAGTAGGAGCTTTGGCATCTACCTTTCTTTCTGTAATACAATAGTTCAATTAACACTTTTCTCATCATTCCAGCTAATGAGGTGCCTGAAATGATGAGCAAAAAATAACTTCCTTTGCCATTTTGTACTATGTATTTTGTAATATATGTAATTTACTTAATGCATACATACAAAATATAATATGTAAATGCATGTAAAGATCAACAGTTTGAGGCTGGCACCGTGGCTCACTAGGCTAATCCTCCGCCTGCAGCGCCGGCACTCCGGGTTCTAGTCCCAGTCGGGGCGCCAGATTCTGTCCGGTTGCCCCTCTTCCAGGCCAGCTCTCTGCTGTGGCCCAGGAGTGCAGTGGAGCATGGCCCAAGTGCTTGGGCCCTGCACCCCATGGGAGACCAGGAGAAGCACCTGGCTCCTGCCATCGGATCAGCGCAGTGTGCCAGCCACAGCGCGGCGGCTGCACCGGCCATTGGAGGGTGAACCAACGGCAAAGGAAGACCTTTCTGTCTCTGTCTCTCTCTCTCTGTCACTGTCCACTCTGCCTGTCAAAAAAAAAAAAAAGATCAACAGTTTATAAATCTTTATGAATTCTGTTTAAATTTATAATACATTTCAGTGCAATTTCACATATCAGTCTTTTTTTTTTAAAGATTTTATTTATCTATTTGAGAGGTAGAATTACAGACAGTGAGAGGGAGAGACAGAGAGAGAGGTCTTCCATCTGCTGATTCACTCCCCAAATGGCCTCAATGTCTGGAGGTGCGCCAATCCAAAGCCAGGAACCAGGAGCTTCTTCCAAGTCTCCCACATGGGTGCAGGGGCCCAAGCATTTGGATCATCTTCTACTGCTTTTCCAGGCCAGAACAGAGAGCTGGACTGGAAGAGTAGCAACCGGGACTAGAACCCGGTACCCATATGGGATGCCGATGCCAAAGGCAGAGGCTTAGCCTAGTGTGCCACAGTGCCAGCCCCCCACACAACAGTCTTAAGATGCAAATAACTTGTACATTAAATTATACCTAAACAGTGTGATTTGCCTGTCATTCCAGAGTGTGTTTCTCACCAGATTTTTTTTTTTTTTTTTTTTTTTGGACAGGCAGAGTGGACAGTGAGAGAGAGAGACAGAGAGAAAGGTCTTCCTTTGCCGTTGGTTCACCCTCCAATGGCCGGCGCACTGCGGCCGGTGCACCGCGCTGATCCGAAGCCAGGAGCCAGGTACTTATCCTGGTCTCCCATGGGGTGCAGGGCCCAAGCACTTGGGCCATCCTCCACTGCACTCCTGGGCCACAGCAGAGAGCTGGCCTGGAAGAGGGGCAACCGGGACAGAATTCAGCGCCCCGACCGGGACTAGAACCCGGTGTGCCGGCGCTGCAAGGTGGAGGATTAGCCTAGTGAGCCTCGGCGCCGGCCTTCACCAGATATTTTTTAAAATGCTTTATTTATTTATTGAATTTTGAAAGGCAGTCCAATAGAAAAAGAGGGAGAGGGAGAAAGAGAGAGAGACGTACTATGCTGGTTCAGCTGCTAAATGCCTACAACAGCTAGGGTTGGGCCAGGCCAGTGCCCGAAACCAGCAACTTCACCCAGGTCGCCCACGTGGGTGGCCTGGGCCCAAGCACTTGAACCAGCACTCGCTGCTCCTCAGGACGCACCCTGGCCAGGAGACTGAAGCGGAAGCGGGATTCGAGCCCAGGCACTCGCTGTGGGACGCATTCCCCACGGAAGTGGGATTCGAGCCCAGGCTCTCCCTGTGGACGCAGTCCCCACGGAAGCGGGATTCGAGCCCAGGCACTCGCTGTGGGACGCAGTCCCCACGGAAGCGGGATTCGAGCCCAGGCACTCGCTGTGGGACGCAGTCCCCACGCAGGGCTTTGACAGCTTGCCCCCTCCCAGACTGTTGAAGGAAGACGTGTTTTCCTTCATCTTGAGCCTCCTTCCAGCTCTTCCCTCTGCAAACTGCCCTTGCAACACATCGTCAGCGCCACACCTGCCTGTGGGAAGCGTGGGGTTCCTCTCCTCAGTCCCTCCTCTGTGGCTCGTGGCGGTGGCTCCTTCCGTGGTCTCCAGGCAAACCTTTCCCCCCTGCTCCCCACACCCAGCCCGCTGGCCCTTTAAAACTTGTTGGCTGCAACAGGAATGCTCCCCCTGGGAAGCTCTGCTGACGAAGCTATGGTGCCATCTGGTGATAATCTAGCGTAACACCTGGCATGTATGCCGCACTGACTAGATGTCGGCTGAAATAACCGGTTTGTTTGCAGGATCGAAGTTAATTCCGAGCAGGCTGCTTCACAAGTTTTGGTCTGGTCACAGGCTTCCTACGTTTTCTTATAGGGAGGTATATGCATTGAGTGGGATTTAACGAGCAGATTTGCGTCACAATTAATCCCACTCAAAATCAAAGACGCAGGACGGGCATTGTGGTGCAGCGGCTTAAGCCACAGCTTGGCAATGCCTTCCTCCCATATGGGAGTGCTGTGTTGAGTCCCAGCTGCTTTGCTCCTGATCCAGCTTTCTGCAGAGGCACCAGGGAGGCAGCAGATGATGGCTTAAGTGCTTGGGTTCCTGCCTCCCACGTGGGAGACCCAGATGCATTTCCTGGCTCCTGGCTTCCCACTGGCCCAGCTGCAGCTGTTGTGGCCTTTGGGGAAGTCAGCCAGCAGATGGGAGATCTCTCTCTCTCTCTCTCTGTCACTGACTCTC